AAGTTAAACAGAACCAAAGATGGGTTGCAGGCCAGGTGAATCGAGGCTTCACTGGGGAGAGCAGCCTGCCCAGGTGAGTGGGCTCGCTCGTCTCAGAGACATGGGTAAGGAGCTGCCAGAAAGAACCATGGACCAGGAGCTGTGGTACCCACCATTTGTTTCTAGTAAGCTCCAAAAAACCACAGAAAGGCCTTGACAAACTTGCAGTGAGCGGGTCACCTGTTCTTGGTGGCCACCGGTACCCAGACAGCCTTTCCCCCTTTTGTACAGTCCCTGCTCTCCACCCCCTCTGGGATTATTCCATAGCTGACCCTCTTAGAGCTGGCTGCTGGAGAAGAAACAGAGTAAAAGTTGGCCGGAGACCTCAAGTACATAGAAGGTTGTTTTGGCTATATATATATGGAAGTTTTGGCTAAAACGAGACCAAGAGTCATATTTTAAAATGAAGCTGTTTTTAGGTGGAATGTGATTGGAACACCGCGGAATTTGGTCCTGTTCCGAAGATGTCGTGAAAGTGTGGGGTAGAGAAATTCCGTTGAGGAAAGTGATTGGGAGGAAAAGCCACGGCCTTTGGCCTGTGAAGTTCAGCTCCTTCAGTGCAGCTCACTGGCTTATTCTGTAAACTCAGCTTCCCTGTGACAGCATATACCGGAACTGACGTGCTGCTGCATCTTCAGAATGGCTTTAATCAAGCCAAGTCACCTTGCCTGCTGCCTTCCTTACCCGTGGCGCCTGCCCTGTATGGCACTGGAATTTATAAGTCTCTGCATTGGTCTTGTTCATCTTTCCAGTGAACAAATCATGGCCCAGAAGAGAGACATGTCATTCATAACGTCACGCAGATTAAAAGGGTTCTACCCTGAAGTCCAGGTGTGCAAATACTGCTTGGCTCTTTTCCCCAGCTCCTCTCCCACACCACTGGTTTCCTCTGATGGGGTGAGATGACAGGCCCCATCTGGTTAAGGGAGCAAGCTAAGTGTGGGGAAAGAATCAAAGACAATAGGGAACTGGTCTAGAATTGCCCAAGGCTAGTCCTGGTCCTACCTAAACTTGCTTCCTCTTCACCCTTTACCCTCCATCAGAGGACAGAAATGGCTCTCTCATTCTCTATGGGCCATTTTCGGAGCTCAGGGATGTGTGTGTGTGTGTGTGTGTGTGTGTGTGTGTGTGTGTGTGTGTGTGTGTGTGCACGCGCATGCGCGCACAGGCATGTGCCACATCATGTATGTGGAGGTCAGAAGACAGCTGTTAGGAGCTGAGGCATCGTCCGTCCACCTTGCTTTGAGACAGGGTCTCTCTTGCTGTTTCTGCTATCCTGTACTTTAGGCTAGCAGACTATGAGTTTCCTGTCTCCACCTCTCATCTCACGGTAGGAGCACAGGGATTTCGAATGCCTGTTACTGTATCCAGCTTTGGCTTTTTTTGTTTTTCTCCTGTTGTTTTACACGTGTTCTGGATATAAACTAATTGCACCAGGCTTGTGTGTCGAGTGCCTTTGCTCCAGGGGTTGTAGGACGGGGTAGATGTGAAGGAAACACAATACTAACTTTGTAGAATTCTTCCGTTTTCCAGCCTTCAGTATTAACATCTAATCAGCAGGTCTGAGAACCAGAGAAAGCTACATGACCTTCCAGGATGAACAATTATCTCCCATGGCTGGTCATAAATGTAGAAAATGCTGAGTTGGTACCAGTCAGAGCATGCCAATGGCAAGGTCCTGTTCTGTGTATTGTGTGGTCAGGATGCAATGCAATCACAACACGGTGGTAAAAAGCCCAGAGCTCCTCTAACAGCTGATGCAGCTGTGAAATCAGAGAGGCAAAAAGTAGCCCACAGAAGACAAGAGGTACACGTAATTCAGTGTACATATATCTCAATGTCAAGCTGTGTACTAAGGAGCCTCCACCCCTAGCTGAAGAGTTACTGACAGTTGGTGGTTGCTTGGAGAGGGTGAGTGACTTTTCTTTCTGAGTGTGGTCCCTTGTAGCTTAACCATGTTCCTGCAGATGGACCCACTCACACCCAAGCATATACGGGCAACACTAGTTGGACTCAGTGAGCTATTTAAAAAAAAGGGACATGAAGTTGGGAAGTGGACATGGGAGGGGATCTGGGAAGAATTAGAAAGAGAAGCAGAGGGTGGATATGACTGAAATAAATTGTATGCTTGTATGAAATCCTCAGAGTTACATTAAAGTGTGTATTTGTCTGTTTGTTTGTTCTTCAAGACAGGGTTTCTCTGTGTAGCCTTGGCTGTCCTGGAACTCACTCTGTAGACTAGACTGGCCTCGAACTCAGAGATCCACCTGCCTCTGCCTCCCAAGTACTGGGGTTAAAGGTGTGCACCACCACAGCACAGCAAAAGTGTATATTTAAAAGAGAATTCAAATACTTGTTTTTGAATGGCTGAGAGAAAATTACCTGCCTCTCTCTCTCTCTAAACACTAAGTAACACTACAGTGTGTGCTGTGATGAAACTTAGAACCAACAGAATACCAACCAAGAGCCCTCTGGTCACTAGGGAAACCATTGCAGGAAGCCTTCACATTTGTGGCTTCATTTTACCTACTGTGGTCTGTCCTCTCCAGGCTCACATGCTGGAAGCTTGGTCCATGAAGTACAGAGCTACATGACTGCGAAGCGACTCCACCATCATGGACTGATGGGTCTCACAGGAATCAGTTCCCACATGGGTGGGTTGTCATAGAGCCTGCCCTCCCCTACACCCCGTCCCTGGTCCTTTCTGAATGCAGCCATTTCCCTTGCCTTTTCTCTGTGATGTGACAGTCAAGAGGGCCCTCACGAGGATGCTAGAACCATGGCATCTGGACAAGCCAGCCACGAGAATCACAAACCAAGTAAATTGTTTGCACATAAATTGCCCAGCTTCGAGTTATATTATAACAGCACAGCACAGATTAACATTACCAGTCCAAACATCAGGCAGACCAGTAAGAATTTGGGGTAGACAGGGAGTCAAACTGCATGTTAGTGCTTAAATATCATGGGCTTCTAGATTCCGGTTCTGGGTGATATTCTTTGATTTGCTCTCTCCCCCTGCTCAGGTCCAGTAGTGACTAAAAGGTATCGCTTGCCACATGTTGTACAAGAATCCCCTCCTGACTCTCCTAAAGGCACTATGCATGTCCCATGACAGAGACTGAGCCCGGGAGGGCAAACATGGAGAAAGCTGCCAGCACACACGGCTCTACTCAAATGACAAGGCTGTGCTGTGTTTTACAGACCACCCCTCCAAAACAGTGGCCATGGCTGACTGTCTCACAACTAAAATAACAGGACGTACATGGAACCTTGCCCATGCTGGGCTCCTGTGTGCCTTGCAGGGAAGAGCGCCCACAAAGCACAGCTTTAGAAAACTGGCGGGGGCAAAACCTGGAGGAAGGTGGGTGGAGACTGACATTTGGTCTGGAATTGGAGCTTCTAACTTTATTATGTTTGATTGTAGCTTGCTATTTTATGTTCTACTTGAAAACTGAAAGGTCACCCATCCACTCTAATATGGCCATTTTCAATTTGGGGATGTTATCCACACGCTGAGCTTCAAAGAACAAGCTGACTTTTCAGTGTCATGACCAGAGAGACAAGCTGGAAGGTTGCTCTCATTCTCCAACTTGTCACCCTGCTCAGTTTTCCCCATAAACAGTCGCAGCTCAGAAAAACAAGAGCACACACACACACACACAAAAGGGTGGCACAGCTTCCTGTTAAGCTGGAGGCTGAAGCAGAGTCCTGTTTTCTGTGTAGCTTCACAATACTTTTTCCTGGGGGTGGGGAAACAGGATCACTGACTAGGAACAACTAAAAGGCTCCGTAGTATCTACGCTTCCAGAAAGAGTTTAAACAAGAGAGCATAAAAAGATCCAGGATGGGTTCAGCTAAAGCCTGCACCTGCTCTGCTGATGTCAGAGCTTAGCCGATTTGTTCCAACATAAGCACCGTGTCAAAAGCTGCCTTGCCTAGGCATCCTGGCCTCACAGCAAAAGCTAAGAAATGAGAGAGCTGTAACTACCCAAATGTGACCACAGACGTTTGTGAAGTTCATTAGTGATAAGGTGGGCCTCCTCTGCACAGAGAGTGAGCCAGGAAACTGGAAATAGATGGCAGGGCATGTGCACACACACACACGCACACACACATACACACACACACACACACGCACGCACACACGCACACGCACGCACGCACGCACACGTACACACGCACATACACACCACACAGATCTGATCAAAGGCACAGCTCATAAGCATACAAAAGCCTGGAACTTCTCTATCAAACACTTAGGACACATGCCAACAGCAAGAAAGACGGCCTGGATGACGGCAGTCTGATTCGCGAACTATGTCCTTACAAGAATACTTCTCTGCTTTTCCCAGAGACCAAGTGAACTGGAAAAACATAAAATAGGGTGAAGAGGCAGGGGACAGTTGGCACAGAAGAGCTAAAGGAGTGAAAGCCAGACATTCAACTCGGAGAACTCAGGAGAGGTCCAGATATGTAAGTGTAGTTTTGACCGACTTAGAATCCAGACCCCAGCCACCGGACATCTTCTTCCAAAGCTCCCCCTATGTGTGTTCAAGGCTCTGCAGATACAGAGGAGACACAGGAGATGGTGGCAGCAAAGCCTCCCATGACGTGTCCACAGCCAAGAACTAATGGAGTCGAAGCATTAAAGGCATGTCTACGGGGACTTGGCAGGAGGGCTGCAGGACTGGGCAGCCCTGCCACCTGTTCACACTTGTTCTGCTCAGATCTGAGAAAAGGAGGTCACCCTTGCAGGCCCCACAGCAGAGCCTGAGCGGGGTGGGGCTGTGGTCTAGTGCCTACCTCAAATGCACGAGACCTTGAGTTCACAGAAGGAACCTATGATAATTGAATTTTTTACAGCAATTAGCCTCAAACTGGCTTGGAGGTGGGGCTGCTCTTAAAAAACAAAACAAAACAAAACAAAAAAACAAGTTCTAAGAATTCATATATCAATGTCTTTTCTGATAAAAATGATACTTTATTATAATTTTTTAAAATCACAGAACTCCAGTCTAAATATCACACACACATACATACATACATACACCCTCTGGTGCTGGCTTCCATACCCCCTCAAATTTGGCTAATGAGTAATGTATGCCTCAGGGAATTTTCCAGTTCAACTCATACTCAACTTGAAGTACTAGGCATCATAGGTCTTCTGGGTTTGCCCATACTTCAGTGATGACAGCTGGTACATTTGCTGAAGAAATCATTTCTGCTGGCTCAGCACCCTAGAGCTGTGGGCACTGTGTGGTGGTATGCGAAAATATGGATCTGCAGGCCACTTCCCAGCAGGCTTTGCCCTCTCTTCTCTCTCATTGTTTTGCTGTGTCTCTACAGGGGTTCCCTTAAACACTGCAATAAAAGTGTGTCTCCTGGACAGCAGGTGGCTCGGACCAGTACCAGTGCTCTGTGTGAAGTCACCGAGCCTATAACTCTGGGGTTACAATTCAAAATAAATATTATTTCAAAGTAAGGAAACAGATGACTTGCTGACTAAGAAAATGCTTGATTCTTTTGAAAACTCACAACCACTGTGGACTTTTGTTTCATGATATAGTCAAGACAAAAATGAGGCAGTGTCACTCCCACTACTGGCAGAGCGCCCCTCCCTGTCTCCCTCCACACCGAGAAGTGACTTCAGAGCCTAGTTGTCACATCTGTGGCTTGGGTCACTTGTAGTTCAGGTTAACAAGTTCCTAAACTTGGTTAAGATCAACTGTGTAACCACGATGCTAAGACAAGGGCCCTCACCTTAAGGATGAGAACATGACCCTTGGAAGAAGCTAAGGGCTGGGCTAGCTACCCTGAAACCAACAAGAGAGAACTTCTCAATATTGAAACCCAAGTCTGAAGTACTACCACTGTCTTCAAAACTCACAGACCCTTCTTCCAATCAGGAAATCGTCATCAGGGGCCCTGGCCCGAGTAACCCACCGGCAGTCTTATGAGAAGCAGAGATATTTCAGAAATAGGAAACGCATTTTGTGATGATGTCTGTTTCCAGGACAGACCACAGCCACAGAAACACTTTCCAGAGTTGGTCTGCTCAAACGTCTACCTCAGGAACAGAGGCAGCCAGCCTTCATGAGGTTCTGACATATGTTCTGTCAAAAATAGTTTTCTTTTCCTAGAGTTATAAGTTGTCTTCAAGTTCAACTATATTACACATCTGTTCATCAGCAAAAAAATGACTTAAAAAAAACAAAAAGCTCCAAAATGAGTGATGTCTATGTAGAATGAAGGTAGAATTTTGGTTGGTTGGTTTCTATAATTCAGAACATAGATGAAATCAAAAGATCTGTAATGGTCTGCACATTCATGTCTTCCCAGGGTCCTTTGCTCAGCTCACATGAACTCATCCGAATCGTTACCATCCTGTAGTGGACAAAAAAGTCAAAGTATGAAGGCCTTGAGAACAGTCAGTCTGTACTTAACGTCTATTACCATGCTAACCCACGACCCCTCTTCTTATTCCTTATCTCGGGGTTTAGGAAGCTAGCAGGAAGATGACCAAATTCACCACGGCTCTGTGTCATTAGCTCTTAGAACGAGCAGGGAGAGTAGCCATAGCCTCCAAGGTGCCAGTCACTGCAACTTCCAAGTTCCAACAGAAAGCTCACCCCAACTCAGCGGGTGTGAGGAGAGCGGCTACAAGTAAAGGCAACTTTGCAGAGGGTAGTAAATAGCTAATCATTTCGCATGAATTCTCAACTTTAAGAAGTGAGTAACTGAGGTGAGGGCTATAGAACCCGTGTCCCTGGAGCGACTTAACAGCTCATGTCATGTCAGATACCTTAAAACACACACAATTTTAGAAAAAGACCAATCCTCAACAAGCACATTAATGAACAATATCTTGATTCCTTGTGCCAACAACACTGCCATATGCAAAAATTTGTGTGCTAAACCCCAGTATTTTGAACCTCATGATTTTCATAGATTTCTGATTTCAAATGATAGGTGACTACTTTTCCTCCTTTTTAGTAGGTAAAGTCCTTGAGTCAAACAAAGGCTAGTAATCAAGCTAGCCAGTTTGGTTCTTACAAACAACAGAGCCCGGGTAAAGGGGCAATCTTCCTGCATGACTGGTAAGTCCCACAGGCCACACACAGGTGCAGCCCCAGCTGCCTTTCATCAGCACGTACTGGCAGGGGTCTTCTCTGGCACCATGGCTGACTGGTGTCAGCACTGGCCACTGCACTGGCCTCCCCTTCTATCTTGTATTGCTTAACACCAACACTGCCAAGAGACAGAGGTACAACTTAGGCTTTTTTTTTTTAAGGACCCTTGTTGGAAATGGTAGGAAAATATTAGATGAGGGTAGAAAATGGTGGTTTTTATAAAGGCTGTTTTTCTCTGGTTTTAGTCAACATCTCTGTGCTGCTCCTCTTCCCCTTCTTAAAAAAATATTTTAGAGAGTGTGTGCATACACCACACATATGCAGAAACCCTTAGGAAGTCAGAAGAGGGCACTGGACCCCTGCAACTGGACTTGGAAGAGGTTGTGAGCCATCGTGTGGGTGCCAGGGAGAGACCCAGGTCCACTAGAAGCAGAGAACTCTCTTAACTGCTGAGCCTTGTGCTTCTCTTTAATTAGCACAGGAATCAGAACCACAGGAAACTTGGCTCAACTGTTTGTGTTTTGTTCTGGTACCAGGACTGACTGCCTCGGAGTCCTAAACTTCAGGAGCAGCATCTGAGACATCAGAAGGAGTCAGCATACATCTGCAAATACCAGCTTCTCTGCCCAGCTAGTGAGGACAAAGAACTGAGTAAGAGGACCTGGCAGGTACCAAGGAAAGGCAAAGTCCCTGCAGGGGCTATGCGTTGGATGTATGTGCAGAGTTCCCGCTGCACAAGGGCAGGTGTTCTGGGACTGGAGGAATGTCTAACTATCCATCTACGGTCCAGGACTTTCCTTGGTCAACTATTACTTTTCAGATTTCCCAGTCCCTGTATTATTCAGCTTAAAAGATATACCTCTTGTCACCCAGTGATAAACTGGTAAGCAAGAGGAATGTAACAGTAGCAATCTATGCCTCCAAGTCTGCTGTGGGATGTTCTGTATGGCAAATGTGTTGCTGATTGGTCAATAAATAAATCACTGATTGGTCAGTGGCCAGGCAGGAAGTGTAGGCGGGACAAGGAGGAGAAGAATTCTGGGAAGTGGAAGGCTGAGTCAGAGACACTGCCAGCCACCATGATGACAAACAGCATGTGAAGATGCCGGTAAACCACGAGCCACGTGGCAAGGTATAGATTTATAGAAATGGATTAATTTAAGCTGTAAGAACAGTTATCAAGAAGCCTGCCACAGCCATACAGTTTGTAAGCAATATAAGTCTCTGTTTCCTTGGTTGGGTCTGAGCGGCTGTGGGACTGGCAGGTGAGAGAGATTTGTGCTGACTGTGGGCCAGGCAGGAAAACTCTAGCTACACAAGTCCAAACCAAAAAGGACTGAAAATTACAGTTAAAGAGGTTATACTAAATAGAAGACTACAAGTTTAGATGAAAATTAGCTCAGACGGAGACCAGCATTCTTCCTGATAAGCTTGCACAGTCCCATCTCACCTAAGCATCAGTCTTTGAATGCTCAAAACAAGATGGTAAGAGAACAGGAAATGTTACAAGGAGACCGAAGCCTTCCCATTTGAGCACCTCACCCACAACAGCAAGAACAGAGTAGGGGGGAAGGGGGACTGGTGAGCATTAGTCTCTAGTTGAACACTGTAGTCTTGGAGGCTCTTAGTGACAGTATCTGTGCATACACATGCACCACTGGTCCTCTGCATCTGCGGGAGTCTATGTCTGCAGAGTCAACCAAATGTAGACAGAAAGCACTTAGGAATCCCACAGACACAGGCACAGGCCCTTGTCTTGCCATTATTTCCTAAGCAACACATTGTGACAACTCTTTGCATCTACATTGTATTTGGTATAAATAACAATAGACAGAATAAAACACATGAGGAGATAAAATATAAGTTATATATAATATTTTTTCATTTCATAAGGGTTTTGAACATCTACAGAGTTCAGAGTTTAGTATTCCCAGGGCCTTGGAAGCAATGCCTCAAAGATATCAAGAGATGATGATGATGATGATGATGATGATGATGATGATGATAATGATGATGTGTGTGTGTTTCCAACTCCAGAAAACATATAAGCTTTTAAGATCTACCATGACAGGAATGATATGTACAAAGCTGAAACACAGGCCAGATTTCTGGTAGAAAGCTTCTAAATACAAAGTGTGAATAAGTACTAGTCAGCAGAGCAGAGGCAGGAGCATTAGTTTTAACTGAATTGGACTTGGAATCTATCACAGGTTTCTGCTAATGTTAAACTGTTCTGAGTTTTCAGAAAGCCAAGAATAATGTGCAGAGGGCCAAACAAACTCAGGACTCAGTAAGGACCAATGACGAGGACCTATGCCACGACAGAGTCTAGCACGGTCTTCACGGCACACCCTTGTTTACAGGTTACAACACCCTCATGAGGTAATGTCTCTGTACTGAGCAATATCCCCCCAGAAAGGCTAAAAATGTAGGCTCACCTTAGTGACAGTTTAAATCTCTTGACTTCAAATTCAGACCTGTTGGACTACACAGTTCTATTCTGAAATTTTTGAGAAATAATTTATAAAGATACATCTTAACTCATAAAGGAGACTCAAAAATTTAGTCCTTCACAGAGGTGGGAGTAAAGACGCATTTTTACACATTGATGGACAGGTATTGGATATAAACAAAGTCTAAAATCCTACTGATTCCAATTCATGCACTTAACTTGGAGCTTGAATAGATAACCTTAAGTGGGAAACTGAGACACTTAACAGAATTTTCTGTAGTAATGGCAGGTTCTTCCTCTGTGCTGAAATAGTAGCCACTGGGCCACACAAGGCTAGTACGACTAAAGAAGACAAGTGTTAACTTAATTTTCATTTAAACAGCATTTGCAATTCATCTCTAACATATCTGACAATATAGACCTAAAGCATGCATTTTAAAACCATATTATAAAAGGGTCTGAGCCAAATGTGACGGTGCACACTTCTAATGCCAGCACTTGGGAAGCAGAGGCAGGAAGAGAAAGTCTGGACCAGGTTGGGTGAAGGAGGGTTTCATGGCACCCTGAGCAACAAAGCAAAGCCAAACAAAAAACCTGAAACACGTAAACACTTATTCCTGGTCTTAACAAGCATGAAAAAAATCAGTGTTGGTATTTAGGCTGTAATAGATGATCTCTGCATTTGGTACATGTATTTTTCATTGAAAGGTGCAATTCTGGTTCTGTTTAACTATACTGTGAAATCTATAGCCACATTAGTAGAGGAAATTAATAAATGCAAATATGTTCAAAAGCCTGGAAACAGAAGGAGGAAGGAACTTGATTACAGTGCCGTGCCATAGTCTGGGTCTGGAAATGTCCCCCAAGGCCATGTGCTGAAGGCTTGTTCTCCAGCCCATGGTACGTCTGGGAGAAGTGCTGCTTGGCGTGAAGAAGTCAGGTAAGAGGCATGCCCTTCAGAGGTACTGGACTCTCCCCTTTCTCTTGCCCTCTTCGCTTCCCATCTGTCATAAGGTGAGCAGCTTGACTGCCCATGTTTTCCCATCACGATGCACTGTCTTAATGTAGGACCCAAAGCAGCAGGGCAATTGACCATAGCCCCAAACCTCCCAAATCCTGAGTCAAAATAAAGCTTCTTTCTTCATCAGTTGATTCTCTCAGGTATGGTGTTAGAGTAAGAGAGAGATGACAGACACACCACGCAACACTAACTAGCTGGCCCGTCACAGCAGGTGAGGCGTCAGACTCTCCTCCCGTGAAGTGACCCGTACAAAAGCAAACACCAGACCACAGGGCAGGCAGGCAATGGCTGCCAGAATCTACCCTCAGTGTGCTAGATCTCACTCACAGCAAGCAATCTGCAACAAGTCAGTAACTCAATTACCAGACTCTCTGTGGAGTATTTCAAGGCACAACATTAGAGCAAGAAACGTGAACTTACTTGATTTGAGGACATATTCTCAACTTTCATTAGTGACGAGTAGCTCCTGGAAGGAAAAAAAACAGTTAAAGTAAGGTTATTACTTAATAAGCATTTCATGTGTGGCCACCATCTTAAAACCCACATCTCGCAGACGGTTACCACCATCCTAAAACCCGCATCTCGCAGATGGTCACCACCCTAAAACCTGCATCTCACAGGTGGTTACCATCTTAAAACCCGCATCTCGCAGATGGCTACCACCCTAAGACCCGGCAGATGGCTACCACTCTAAAACCCGCATCCCGCAGATGGTCACCACCCTAAGACCCGCACCTCGCAGATGGCTACCATCTGATGTCAGCTTCTAGAATTACTCTATGAGGGAAGCCAGTTTCATGTATTCATTCATGATACAATGACTGACTACACATACAAATGCTGACTTGTACAAGGGGTCACAAGGCTCTGCGGGAGCTTACAATCAACAGGAAGAATCCCCGCACACAAAGCATCAGTCACAGTAGACAGCAGTAGGAGCTTGGGTGTGGTGGCACTTGTCTATGATCCCAGCCATATGGAGTCTAAGGCAGGGGAATCATGAATTTGAGACTAGCCTGGACAACTTGGTGAGACTGTATCTCAAGATAATTTTTTTAAAGGAATATAGCTCAGTGATAGAGTGTTTGCAGGCACAAAGCCCTGGGTTCAACCCCTAGTCCTCTTTTTTAAAAAAGGCAATGAGCAATAAAAAGGAGGTAGAGCAGTCCCCTCTTAGAGACTGGTCACCCTCTGACCAAGGCTTTGTGCTGATGATGCCTTCTAAATGTTACTCCTGCCTATACAAGCCCACTTCCCCACACACACCCCATGACACCTATGAACTATGCTGAATCTTCTCAAGTCACTAAACACACTTTTTCCTGTTTACTTGCTCCTGTAAGATTCTGACTCTGGCCTTGTATCAGGGACAACAGATTCAGAATTGCAGGTGAGTCTCAGTTTCCTCTCTACCACTTAGTTATCCAGTTGCATGTGACTCTCCTTGCTGAAGAGCTCTGCCTGGAAACCAAGTTTATGTCTTTATGCTGGTGACACATTGGCCTGTGACTTCCCACTGCACTTCCATCCTGAACTTCAGCCTCAGTTCTGTAACTTCAGAACTTACAGAGTCACAAGTTCTAACTTGTATCCCCCAATTTCAAACACCCCCCAGCTCCTTTGTCATAACAGTCCAACTCCATTTTCCTGATCATTGCTTTTGTCTTTTGGTCTATATGGTAGACTATATGGTAGACTAAACTTCATGTTCATAAGTGTTTGATATAATTCAAAAAATCAAATAAAACACAGGATTAAAATAAAGCAGACAAGAAGCACAGAGTTGATCTATTGGTTAGAAGATTCAAGGATAGAACTTAAAGAGATGCTAGCATGATAAGTGTATTAAAATAGATTATGGGGGTGAAGGGGTGTGAAATCCCAGGCTTCAATGGAGGCCAGCCTGGGCTGATTGTAAGACCCTGTGTCTCAAAGTCTCAAAAACAAGCCCACCAAATGTTGGAAGCATAATGCCTGTTGCTGGAGATTTTACAAAATGAAGTACCGAGTTTGTGGAAGAAGCCCTGACAGGCTATCATCTCACTGACACAGTGGCCCTGCCTCATGCTCTGCCTTCTGAAGCTTGTGATGGACTGCCACTTAGACGGCTTGTGAGTACCAGGGACCACACAACTGAAGCTCACAGGATGGTTACAAATGGGTGAAAATGGAAGGGTTGGTTGACCTTCTGGAGGAGAGTTTACTCTGCAAGATGGAGAATTTTCCCCTCAGTTCCATGAATAGTTTTAATGGAGATACTTTAAAAACAAACCTAGAAGATACTAAAATAGTTTTTGTTAATGGGGTCTTTGTTTAAATGCTTGTAACTTTTGAAACTAATAAATACTACCCCCCCCAACTTTAATAGTATATAGCTTAATTCAAAACCAAGAATGCATTTCAGGTAAACCCTAGCATCTCTCTATTACTCTACGTATTCTGAATGAGTATTGTGTAAAGCAGCAGAGTGTAGTAGTGTGTGGATCTACGTATTCTGAATGAGTATTGTGTAACGCAGCAGAACATAGTAGTGTGTGGATTTAACAGTCAGACACACACACTTAGCTATAGCGCTCAGCAAGCTGCTTGGTGTTGTTCAGACTCCCAGAATATCTGGCTGCTCCGTGAGGACACGCAGGAAGCACTTTTAAGTATAGTGTGAGACAGATGGTAAATGTTCAAAGTGTCATCTTTCCTCCTTGGCAAAGATGCAAATGAAGTGACATTGTGCTTCGAACACTAAACATCCATATCTCTAAACAAAACTGCTCAAATGCAAAGGAAACAGAAAGTCATGTTTTCTTCAAGGCATATATTTCCCTGCTCCAACTAAAAACAAGAATTAGCTGGAAATCCTGCTTGCCTGACTCACAAACAGTACCAGAGTGAGCCACTTTTAACAACCCGCAGCGGGCTCTTATTTGCAGGCCATAGCAAGTATCTCAGTCTATGTACGGCTTGCTGCAGAGCAGAGCAGAGCAGGATGACATTCCAGAGCCCCCCTTCGGAATGCTCGACCCTAAAAGAAGCCAGTCCTTCAGTTTCAGCAGAACCTGGACAGGAACATAAGCAGGGACCTCACACCTGAGCATATATGATCATAGCAGCTGTGCTCTTGCCCAGCAGGCTTCCTAAGAACCCAGGGCAAGGCCAGATAGCTGGCTTTTATTTGATGCCACCCCACACGGGTCTTATGCCCTTTCTGGTGCACATACCATGAATGGCATCCATGGAAACCCAGGAGTTCCATGGCTACAAGTTATGAGGGCAACTTCCCATTAAGGGAAACAAAAAGGGCCTCAGAGACAGAGCTCTGTGCTACAGCATTTGCCTGGTGTGCATGAGGCCCTAGTTCAATGCCCAGCACTACATTAAGGAGAGAAAAAAAATGAAAAGAAAAACACGAGGGAGCTGGGTGTACTGGTACATCCCAGTAATTCCAGCACTCAGGATGCAGATGCAGGATTACCAGTTTGAGGTTAGCTATGCCAAAAAAAAGCCAACATCTCACTCCAACAAAAACAGGAGCAAGGTGCCTATTCGAGTGCAGTGACACACTCAGTGTGGCAGGTGAACGACGCTCCTGAAGCTCTCCCTCCCCTAGAATGTTCACAGCCAAAGAGCTAGAACAGTGGTTCTCAACCTGTGGGTCAGGACCCCCTTGGAGGTCACATATCAGATATCCTATTTACATTATGATTCATAACAGTCACAAAATTACAGTTTTGAAGTAGCAGTGAAATCATTTTATGGTTGGGGGTCACCACAACATGAGGAACTGTATGAAAGGGTTGCAGCATTAGGAGGGTTGAGAACCATGCACTAGAAGCACACCGCACAGGAACACACTGTGCAGATGTGACCGTTCTAAATGGCAGGGAGATTACTGGGATGGTATGATTATGTCTCATCTAGTCACATGGCTCCGTAAAGCAGAAAAGGCACAAGAAGGGCAACAAGGCACAGAATGTAGGCAGCCTCTGGAAACAGGGGCCTCCTCGAGAGCCTCCGGAAAGGAACTGCCCTGCCGATTCCTGTTTGGATTAGTCAGAACTTCTTAGGTCTACATTGCCTCGAGGAGTTAAATTTGGGGCAATTTGTTATAGAAGCAACAGAAAACTGATACAGTCAGCATTCTCATGTCCACCTTCACTGCGCTTTCAGAAGACAAACCGTGTTTTAACTGCTGTTTCAAACTGTAGGACACTGAAGTGGGCCCCATTACATTAACTACCTGCAACTTTCAAAAGGCGGAAAAGGCATCTGAGAACAGCCCTGAGTCACCTAGCTCCACACCTCTGTCCAAACGGTACAGCTGCTCACTACACACTCCTTTACCTTTTCCTTTCCCAAGAACAAACCGGATTCTGAGGAAAGCTCACAATGGCATACAGTGAAGTAAAGCCCGACCTTCATTTCACCCCTCACTCCCACCCAACACCTCCATGAAGGGCAATTCACCCCATCAACAGAACCACCTTTAACACCACCACCAGGGCAGTATCCTTCCTGGAAAATGTGCGAGCAGAGCCTGTGGGGACAACCTGCGTCAACCACCAGCAAGACCACAGCCCCATCGTACCGAAGTTCATCCATTTCCCTTTTCTTCTTCATCTCTTCTTTCTCTCTCCTTTTCATTTCCTGAATCTGGGCTTTTTTCTCATTCCTCTCTTCACGGTCTCGACCTTCTTTCTCTGCTGCTAGGTCGGGAAACTTCTCCGATTTGGTTTTTTCTAATCGGTTCAAGATTTCATTCACTTTCTTCTCCACTGTCACAATTTTGACCTTTGAGGGAGGGAGGTAAGGGGGAAAGTACTTAGCCTTATTATTTTCTCTCACCTAGGAGGTGCAAGGCTTTGGCCTCCCAGGGCTTTACTCGCCCAGTTTAACACCCTTAGGAACATCACACTCAGCTTGGAGTCAGGCTCCCCTCCTGGGGTGGTATGAACACTTACATCCTTCTGCCTGTGAAAGCCTATCTGCCCCACATCCATGTCAGCTGTTTTCTTCAGGTTAGACCATGGTGTGTATACCACATTAACGTTGTTCATCTTGCAACCTGCCAAGAGAGACCATCTTCAACAGGCAGGAAATATGAAACTGAGTGGCGCAGCCCTCACCCACAGCAAAACATCATCCACCCCAGACAAGGCTTGAGAAAAGCACACCTCTGATGTCCTGAAGCACCAAAGGCAAGAGGGAAATCAAACATTAAGCCAAAGTATTACAGTGGAAAAAGCAAGGGTCCATGACTAACATCAGGGACTTCCAAGAACGCCCTAAAATTGAACGCAAAATTATCAGATGCATAGTTTTCAAGAGAAAAGGACTGCCTGAGTTTCCTTAGACTCTTGAAGGAATCTTTGAGGTGGTAATGGCTAGCCAGGAAAATCCAGCCACAGCCTGGGATTTCAGAGAGCCAGCCTGGCAATACCTAACCAGCCGTGTGAGCTGAGAGGTGCCTATCACTCTCTGACCCCATCTGACATTGAGGAAACCACCACGTTTAGGAAGGTTGGTTTGGTTATCAGTGGAGCCTTTTTCCCGGAAACAAAACCTATGATTCTGACCTAAAATGGGCCAGTTTAGCAGAAACCAGCGAGTTTAATGCCCGCTCCCGTGGTGTGGAGCAGGAAAGCACTTGATAACTACAGAGTTGCTGCAGGTGGAGTGTCCTCTGCAGACTCACAGTTCTCTTCAGTCCTCAGCAGCATCCTTGGTACTAACTCATTAGGAGAGAAACCTGGGCTCAGCTTCACATTGTGCTATGTGAGCACTCACTGTGGATGGCTGAGGGAGGAAGGGGAGTAATCACCATGTCACCTCTTCCCCTGTGTTTTCTCTAGAGAGAAAGAAACTGAGGCAAGAATGAGGAGTCAACAGCTCTTTGAACCAAGGCTCACTTGCGAACCCGGGGCACAGGGAAGAACAAGGCCGTGTGGAAGAGGTTGGAACACAGAATCAACAGTTTGCTTGCTTCAATGTTTACTTCAGCAACTGAAGATCTCAGGCAGTCTATTCTACTCAATAGTAGAATATCCTCACTCGGAACAACCTGTTGCTTTGTGGAGTTGAAAAGTGGCGGCTCCAGAAGGCACATTTTAGGCCTCTTTGCATACACTTGTAGCTTGTTATTAAGGCTGCCTGAGTTGAGACTGAAGACACCAGTCTCATGAAGGAAGGCTGCCAAGCTCTCATCATGTAATCATGGACCCCCCAATGCCTGTTACCAGCTGTGTTTGCTCTGGATTATCTTCCAGCTTCATTTATAACCGGTTATCTCTCTCTATCCAGGTCTACACTCTACCCTGTATCTCACCTCTTAGCTCCATCATTTATTTAGTTCAGTACCTATCAACCGTCTTCATAACTGCTATCCCCATCCTAGTTATCATCCTACACCTTTCCTTTAGTTAAATCTTATCTAGTAGAATTAAGCAGGCACCAAGCCCAGTATTTTCACTACTACCTAAAACACAACGGGGTGATTGTTCCCAACCCACACTGCACACTGGCTCACCCAGAGAGCTTCTGAAAGATAATGAACCCAAGGATCGCCCAGACCAGCTAAGTAAGATTTTGTGGGTAAGAAGGACAACAGAGTCAAAGGACTCGAAACCTTCACAACTTAAAGGAAGGATAAAGCATGGGAGAGAAGGGAAAAAGTAAAGGCAATGATTTAAAGACTCTAGCTCTAAGCCTGGTGTAGTCACACACACACACACACACCTACACTTCCAATACCCAGGAAGCTGAAATAGGAAAATTGTGAGTTTGATGCTAGCCTGGGCTACACAGTGAGTTCCACACTAGCTTGGGCTACATTGCAAGATCCTGGTTCAAAATACCCAAACAAGGGGCTGGAGAGATGGCTTAGTAGTTAGGGAACACTGGATGCTCTTTCAGAGGACCTGGGTTCAATTCCCAGTACCCACACAGTGGCTTACAATTGTCTGTAACCCCAGTTCCAGGCAATCTGACACCTTTTTCTGTGTTCCAAGGGCACCAGACATGCACATGGCACAGAGACACACATGTAAACAAAATGCCATACACATAAAAATGTATTTAAAAAATTAAAAGAAAACTGAAACAAGCCCCTCTCATCTTAAAATCTGATGACAAATGATAATAGCAGATGCCAACATTAGCAACAAAGCCACGAGATACATCTCCTTAGCTCTCAACACCGCTGTGTTGCCGGAAGTCTTAGGCAGAGCTGGATGACTTCCTATTTAAGCAAAGGGAAAGAGTCACAAAGGCCAAGACTCAGAAAGGACAGTGAAACTCAGGAGAGGAAAAGTGCTTTTAGTGCCCTGACAAGCAGCAAAACTCCCCCTTCCTCAGACCTATCCTCTGTTGTCCTCAGCCGCATGCCAAGTCAACAGCATGCCTGCTAACATGGACCTCATTCCAGACACAGAAAAGGTGCACGCTGACTCAGAAAACACTTCTAGGAAAACTGACCTTGAATGCTATTGGCCTTCACAAGGTGGGCACAGTCCATCAGAACCTCCTTTGGAATGTCTTCTATCTTCTCTCCCTGCAAGAGAAACCAAATGATCCTCTTTTGTTACTGATGGTCACTGGAACACTCACAGCACCTGCTGCCTTACCTGCTCGGCATGGGCTTACAGCAAGCAAGGGGCTCTTCAGGTAAGTACAGTTACCATGCTCACCAGAGGATGCTACCTGAACTAAGAGAAGGCACCAACACAGACAACTATACTTAATACATTAAAAACCATGCTGAAGATATTAGCTGCAGTTATGTCTTAGTAGTTCTTGTCCTCATTCTTTTCTGGACATTCTGACATCTGGGAGTCTCCCTGGCTGAGGTCCCTATGCTTTCCTTTGAAGGAGACACCTTGGAGTTCTGGATCCCAAACATCTCAGACCATCTACCCCCCAGGCAAACTCAGCTCTTGTGTTGGATCCCCACTATTTACCACTACAAGGGGAAAATGACAGAGGGGCCACTTTCTCCACCGAAATTGCTATCAGTCAAAGATCTAAGTACGTAAAGTTATTTCCAAAGAACAGAGACATTCCAGGGGCAAGAGTGGGGAAAATCAGTTGAGAATCTGGTTTTGTTAGGCATGGGATTACAGAAACACCCGTCAGAGGACAAATGCTACAAAGAACTTAGTGCTGAAATAACTTTACCTCACTCCTGTGTTTCAAACTTCCATAATTTTCAAGTGTGTGCGTGCGTGCGTGTGTGCGTGTGCGTGTGTGTGTGTGTGTATGTGTATTATCTGAGAGGTGAACCCAAAGCCTTCCTTCTATATGCTAGGCAACTACTCTACCACTAAAATACATTCCCAGCTATATTTAAAATTATGTACACAAGTTTCTTAAATAAAAGGGGAAGTGCTGTGGGATGGTCTGTATGGCAAATGTGTTGCTGATTAGTCAATAAATAAAACACTGATTGGCCATTGGCTAGGCAGGAAGTGTAGGCGGGACAAGGAGGAGAATAAAGCTGGGAAGTGGAAGGCTGAGTCAGAGAGACACTGCCAGCCGCCACGATGACAAACAGCATGTGAAGATGCCGGTAAGCCACGAGCCACGTGGCAAGGTATAGATTTATAGAAATGGATTAATTTAAGCTGTAAGAAAAGTTAGCAAGAAGCCTGCCACGGCCATACAGTTTGTAACCAATATAAGTCTCTGTGTTTACTTGGTCAGGTCTGAGCGGCTGTGGGACTGACAGGTGAGAGAGATTTGTCCTGACTGTGGGCCAGGCAGGAAAACTCTAGCTACAATTCTGTCTCAAAATAAAAACAAAACCAAAATAAAAAATGAATAAAATTTCAATTAAAATAAATAAAAAGAGGTTGGTGCATGTCAGTAGAACACAGGGGCAGGCTGAAGGGATCTCATCTCACTAGAGCTGAATATAATATGAGCCAGGGAACAAGCATCGGAATATACACAGGGCCCAAGGCACATAATAAATACAAGTCCTTGCTAATGCATACAAAGTAGAAAGAAACAAGTCCCCTTCTGCATGAACCCCAAATAATGAAATGGACCCTACTCACAAAAGTAGAACTATGCCCTACCCATGAGTGGAAGCTGGACCCCAACTTGATTTGTAGTAACCAAGTCTGGAAAGGCAGTGCCATGGCGGAGAAGGCTGGCAGGCTCAGCCCTGCCCAGGCAGTTCAGGCTCATGGCACCAGTGTAAGTCATGTGAAGGTACGTACTGTCTGACATGATGAATGAGAGGCCCCTGCCCTCTGTGCTTTTCTCCCCCTCAAGCCTGTAACCTCATCTAGTCATGAGAAAAATAAGACACATATAACCGGAGTGACATTCTGGAAGGTCACTGACTGTATTGGCAAGATCACAAAACACAAGGAAAAAACACTGTCATGGAAATCAGGGCAGAGGGGGCAAGTGAATGCACCGTGGTACCTTACAATGGCTTCTGGAAGAGAAAAGAGACATTAATAGAGAACCTGCTCAAATAAAGTTCAGGATTTAGTTGAGTAGTAAGCGGGATTGGCCTGATGGTTTTGAGACTCTGACATGTGATATGAGAATATGCTAGCAACAGGGAAGCCATACAACTTTTGTAACTTTCTTCTAAGTCCAAAATACATCTATTTTTAAAAGGTAACTCATACAACAAGCACACACACCGTGTAGTTTGACTATGAAAAACACACGGGTAAAGGCAGGTTAGAAAAAAAAATAGTGGTGCTGTGTTATCAGGGCACATGGCATCTTCCCATGGCATCTTCGCTCCTCTATCGCCACCATGTGGTTTGAGACTGTCCAAGGCCAACACTCTGGAAACTGGGAACAGCTGCCCTCAGTCAGCCAGGCGGGCTGTGTGAGCCCGAGAAAAAGAAGCCACTGGAAATATTATGCCAGCCCCGACTGAACTGAAAGGAGAGGAAGCAGAGAGGACTGACAGCGTCCACTGGACTGGACTAGACAAGGCAGGGCTGCTACCTGGGAAACCGTTCAGAAGTTTCCATAACCATTTTCTGGGCAGGAGGAAGACATTTACTAAACTTTATGACTCTGAACGCTTTTATAATTGAAGCAACTTAATCACACAAAAAGAATATATGGTGTTCCTCACCAAAGGCAAAGTCAGGAATTCGTGTTTACATTCAGTTACCTTTTGTAATCGAAGGTATACATGAGCCGAAGAGAGTTTGTCCACGTGAAACCTGCAAAGGAAGACACAACGTTTAGAAGAACAAGACAGCCATGTCCTCGGCCACTTGCATCGAAAGCATCCCATTCCAGGAACGTATTCCCTGGGACTTCTTAGAAAGCAGTCACCATCTCCAAAGGGCTGGCCAGCACCCTGAGGAGGCACAGTGAATTGCAGAGCTATGCAGCTGGCGTGGCTACGGGCCAAGATGAGTCGGATAATAAATATGACAACATCCCGGGAGGAGGGAAACTTCCAGTGATAAGAAAAGCAGGGGCCGGGCGGTGGTGGCGCACGCCTTTAATCCCAGCACTCGGGAGGCAGAGCCAGGCGATCTCTGTGAGTTCGAGGCCAGCCTGGGCTACCAAGTGAGTTCCAGGAAAGGCGCAAAGCTACACAGAGAAACCCTGTCTCGAAAAACCAAAAAAAAAAAAAAAAAAAAAAAGCAGGGGAAGCATTTCAGTAAGAAAGGATGGAAGAAGTCAGTGAAACTCCACTGCTGCCAACCTGGGAGCTTCACGGGACTGCCGTCTGGAGTAGAAGAGAAGATGGCTTCTGACACCCCCAAGTTTCAAGTAATGGCAAAAGAATCAAAACCAAGGATCAAACTCAGATTTAGAAAAGTCAGCTCACTAAGCAGCCTGCATCATTAAATGGATCAGACTAAAAATTCTTCCAATCCCCCCACCCACTCCCCCACCCAGACAATGACATCAACACGCACCCCTGGGTGAACATAGTCTATATGACACACTGGCACTGTCCTAAAATCATTTAGAATGCCCCACAGTAGGTTTTTTTTTTTTTTTTTTTTTCCCTTGAGGTAGGGCCTCACTACATAGCCCTGGCTGGCATGGTACTTGCTATGCAGACTGGACTAGCATTTTACTCACAGAGCTCCTCTTACCTCTGCCTCCCAAGGGCTGGGAATAAGGTGGGACATACCTCAACATCATCTTTTTTTTTTTTTAAATATTTATTATATATACAGTGTTCTGTCTGCATGTTTGCCTGCATGCCAGAAGAGGGCACCAGATCTCATTACAGATGGTTGTGAGCCACCATGTGATTGCTGGGAATTGAACTCAGGACCTCTGGAAGAGCAGCCAGTGCTCTTAAACTCTGAGCCATCTCTCCAGCCTGCCTCCACAGCATCTTCAATTCACTTTTCTTTAGGGTTTGTACTTTTTTTTTCCTTTAGGTTTTATGTCAACTTGACACAAGCTAGAGCCACCAGAGGAGGAAACCTCAATTGAGAAACTGTCTCCATAAGATGGGGCTATAGACAAGCCTGTAGGACATTTTCTTAATTAGTGACTGATGTGGGAAGATACATGGGGGCTTCTGAACAGAGCCACATGTAAGTGGGAGCTTGAGTTGCCTAGCCCATTGTGGGTGGGGCTACCCCTGGCCTGGTGGTCCTGGGTTCTATAAGGAAGCAGGCTGAGCATCATGGGAAGCACGCCAGTACGCAGCACTGCTTCACGGCCTCTGCATCAGCTCCTGCCTCCAGGTTCCTGCCCTGTGTGAGTTCCTGTCCTCACCTCTTTTGATGATGAATGTTATATGGAACTGTGAGTGAAATAGATACTTTCCTCCCCAAGTTCTTTTTGGTCAAGGTGTTTTAATCATAGCAACAGTAACCCTAATTAAGACAGGGTTCTTATCATCCATCAATTTAATGCAATCTTTCAAAGTTGATGTGACATTTTTCATGCTTATAACTCACCAAATGAAGCTGACTCACTTTGCAACATGCAGAGGCCTAGAATTGAAGCATTAAACCACAAACAACTACACTGTGAACTGACCTCAACTGACAAGGACCACCCGCCACTCTGACTTCTGCGTGTTTAGTGACAGCTCTTTATTAGTGGCAGTCCTTCCTACACACCACTGACACCGTAACTGTTAACTTTTGTTGGTACTGTTCCTAACGAGGTTTACGGAAGCCTATGGAAGCTGAGCATAGTGGCAAAGGCCTATAATCCCAGCAGGCTGGAGGATCATGAGTTCAGAGTCAGTCTGGACTACTTAGTAAAACTTGTCTCAAAAACAAAGAAACAAAACCCTAAGGAGGCATCACTGTACCAATTACAGAATTCCCCGGGCACTTCCTTGTTACTGACATCTAGTCTAGGTGTGAAAGGGTCATAATTCACTTGGTACAGGATATAGACAAGTATGATTCAGTCTGAAGGCTAAGATTACGCTGTTCCTAATGCCCTCAAAGAAGCTAAATCTCTTGTTATTTGTTCTGGATACAGAACAATACTCAGACTTTGGACAAATGATCTATGCTGCTTCTTATTCTTAGTCATTACTGATAGCCAGAAATGGACATTACATCATATTTGATTCATGTTTTTCCAAACTGTTCATTTATCATTTGCATTCCCATGCAAAATTCATACTAATTATCACCTTTAGCTGGGCATTTTTCTGCCCAGAAAAATCCATATTTTTTATAAATCTAGAAATTTTATATATCTCATTCTCCTTTCAGAAACTTAAGAACTGACCTCAACTGAGAAGGAAACTCTGCCATCATCCTGACTTCTGCTTGTTCAGTGACAGCTCTTAATTAGTAGCAGCCCTTCCTACTAGCAATAGCAGCTATATTAGATTCTGCTTTTTCTTCAAGGTCTCCTAAACGGAACGCTGTCAATAGAAATACCAAAATAATTCAATATTGCTAAGGAGTTCATACCTAGGCAGTCAAAGCACACAGGAGTATCATGGCTAGAATGGCCCTCACAAGCTCATATATTTGAATACTTAGTCACCAGGGAATGGAACTCTTTGAAAGGATTAGGAAGTGTGGCCAGTGTGTCACTGGGGGTGGGCTTTGAGGTTTCAAAAGCTCATGCCAGGCCCAGTCACACTCACACTCTCTCTCTCTCTCTCTCTCTCTCTCTCTCTCTCTCTCTCTCTCTCTCTCTCTCTCTCTCTCTCCTCTCTCCCTCCCTCTCCCTCCCTCCCTCCCTCCCTCTCTCTCTCCTCTCTCTCTCCTCTCTCTCCTCTCTCCCTCCCTCCCTCCCTCCCTCCCTCCCTCCCTCTCTCTCTCTCCCTCTCTCTCTCCCTCCCTCCTTCCCTCCCTCTCTCTCTCTCTCTCTCCTGCCTGCAGAGCAGGATGTAGCTCTCAGCTACTGCTCCAGTACCATGTGTGCCGCCATGTTCTCCACCATGATGATAATGGCCTCTGAAACTGTAAGGCCCCAACTAAATGCTTTTTTATTAGAGTTGCTGTGGTCATGGTGTCTCTTCACACCTAGCATATACCAACTTCAGGTTTACATATACCAGTGCATCACTACAAAGGAAATACGGGGTTTGAAATATCCAACCCTAAAACAATTCAGAGCAAACTTCCTGTGTTTGATAAGTCTTTCCAGTGTTCCTAAAAGTGATCACTTAAACTATGCCCACTCTTAGCTTCCTGTCCTTGTTATAATCCCATCCCTGCTCATCTCGACACCCTTCACTAACTCGGAGACTAGAATTTTCAATAAAAGAACAATTACCTGAGGGCACAGAGACACAGGAATGGTTCAGTCCCTTAAAGTGAGGTCTGTGAAAATACTACTCATTAGGCAGTCTGGAGGTAGCAAAGACATACCATGTCTCTTTTCCTCACACCTTTAATCCCAGCACTCGGGAGGCAGAGCCAGGTAGATCTCTGTGAGTTCAAGGCCAGCCTGGTCTACAGAGCGAGATCCAGGACAGGCACCAAAACAACACAGAGAAACCCTGTCTCAAAACAAACAAACAAACAAACAAACAAAACACTAATTTACTTCTAATCTCGTTTAATCCCTAGAAAAGTCCTTGCTCAAAGGAATCTCACAAGTTTCACCAGGATAGACTCAGATGCTGCCCAGGTAAATCCCCCAAGGCAGCAGCAGGGGATACCAGGTTAAAACTAGAGTGCAGAAGAGCTCAGGGTTGCTCTTCAGTCCAGGTCAATCCCAGGAAGACTGTCAGGGTTGACAGCGCATGACCTGGAATAGGCCCTGAGGTTGATGGCCACTACAGCTCCCCTGAGTTCTCAAGTAACTTCTGAAAATAAGTCATTCATCTCTAGACTATTAAAGATACTGAAAGGAATCTCCAGGTACCTGTAGATATAAGCCTAGTGAGTCTCCATCGGTGGTGGCGCACGCCTTTAATCCCAGCACTCGGGAGGCAGAGCCAGGCGGATCTCTGTGAGTTCGAGGCCAGCCTGGGCTACCAAGTGAGTTCCAGGAAAAGGCGCAAAGCTACACAGAGAAACCCTGTCTCGAAAAAACCAAAAAAAAAAAAAAAAAAAAAAAAAAAATGAAAATAAAAACTCAAGCCGCAATTTACTAGTGTTGGCTTTAAATTAGAAATTTGTTTCCTACATGTTTAATTAAAAAAAGTTTAAAAGTTATGGTAAACTGACTTTCGAGATGTATTTTTTTGTGTGGTTTTTCCAGACAGGGTTTCTCTGTGTAGCTTTGCGCCTTTTCTGGAACTCACTCTGTAGACCAGGCTGGCCTCGAACTCACAGAGATCTGCCTGCCTCTGCCTCTCGAGTGCTGGGATTAAAGGCGTGCGCCACCACCGCCCGGCCGTGCACCACCACCGCCCGGCAAGATGTATCTTAATATGTAACCTTCCCTACATAGGCAGCGATCCTCACATCTGCAGGCTAATGTACAGCATAAATGAACAAAGTAGCTATAGTTCTAGCACTTGGAAGACCGAGACAAGAAACCTGTGTGTTTTCAAAGGCAGCCTGGGTTACATCGTGAGTTCCAGGAAAGCCTGAAATAGTCAACCTCTAGCTGGAAAACTAAAGAGGAAAAAGGGGCATCTATGGGAATTACTTCTGCTGGGGATGACAGACACTCAAAGGGGACAACAGGACCCAGTCACAGTGAGGAAGTGTGACGACAACAGATGTACCGAGCTCTTGATATGTACCAGCACTGATGACCTCAGTGGTTCACAAAGCAGGTGAATAGTTGCTTGATTGAAGACACAGAGCCTTCTGAAGGAAGGCCAGGAATTCCAGAAATTCTGAGCAATACAACCTGCCCACCACTGAGTGAAGGGACCCTAAGCAGTAGCTAACCTGATGGTACATTTGAGTTCAGAAGCTAAGACACTGTGCTGGAATAGTTTTTGGTTTTTTAAGCCTTTAAAATTCCTCATGTGTCTGCTACCTCCTGGTTCTCAGTGTGGACTTTGGAATGATAGAATATGCCCACTGGGGCCATGAACTAGAGCCCGTCATAACTAAGTAGGGAGAAGTCCAAGAGGCCCTTGGGGGAACTCCTGCAGATACGCGGGGGGTTCTGAGCAGAGCTGCTGGTAATGGGGAGCAAGCGGAGCTTGAGTTACTCTCTGCACAATACTTCCCTGTTACGTGCTCAATGCCGCACACCTCACTGAAAACTGAACCAGCTCTTCGGAAAAGCAGCCATCGAACCTCATAGCACTCGAGGGAAATAAGGGGAAGTTCTCCAGCCCACAGCTGCAGAAAAGCGACCTGTAGAGTTGCAGCACTGGGCCTGGTAGGGAAGTGGGAGAGGGAGCAGATCAGGGGCAGCGAACTGAAGCCAGAAGATGGTGCCCTAAGAAGACGGAGAATCAGTGATTTGGAAGCTGAGCTGGGCCTATGAGATCCCAGGCTGGGCCAGTAGTAACCAGTGCAGACCTGTTCTGTTCCTCAACTATAATGATAGCAATACTTCAGAGGTTGTTGAGAAATTAAATGTATTGACACTTGACAAAAATCTGGCAGAGTTAAGTGCTTGAAAAATGTGCACTATTGTTATCACACCCAAGTGTTGTGGGATAGTATCTTAAGATGTGTTACATTCATTTATGTGGTGGAATATTTGTGTAATGATGCAAAGATGTATTGTATTCTTTTATGTTGCATTTGTTTAACTCGGTGAAGCTGTATTACTTTTCCTGCTTAAAACACCTGATGGTCTAATAAAGGGCTGACTGGTCAATAGCTAGGCAGGAGAGGGATAGGCAGGGCTGCCAGACAGAGAATAAAAAGAATGAGGAAGAGGGAGGAGCGGGAAAAAGAGAAGGAAAGGAGGACACCAGGGGCCAGCCACCCAGCCACATAACCAGCCACGGAGAAAGAAGGAAAGAAAGGTATACAGAACAGAGAAAGGCTAAAGCCTGGAGGCAAAAGGTAGATGGGATAATTTGAGAAGAGCTGGCTAGAAACAAGCCAAGCTAAGGCCAAGCATTCATAAGAAAGAATAAGTCTCTGGTATTTATTTGGGAGCTGGGTAGTGGGCCCCCAAAGACCAACAAATAAAAAAAAAAACAAAAAAACAACTATACCCAAGTAAACAGGACCTGAGAACTTATCTCTAGGGAGAATGATACTCTACTCAAATGGTAAGACTAGGTTCCAGGAGAGAGAATATGATAGTCAGAATAAGCAGTGGAAAATGAACATGGAAAAAGAAAGTGGCTAAGAAGGTGTGTTGTTAGGAGCCCGCACATTTCTCCTGGGTCACAGGGGTGGAACACTGAAGGGAACCACAGCTATTTACTCATGAACATCATAAACAAAAACACCACATAGGAGGTGTAATTGTAATTAAAGGAGGCAGGTAGATGGTCAAGTTTAAACATCTAAATGACAATCTAAATGAAGCAGAATAAAAATTGCTGCTTACCAAATGTCTTCAGGCCAGCCATACTTTATCAGATCTTCATCTACAGTAAGATACAAGAGGAAGGAAAAAGTTATTAAGAAAAATTGTTAAGTGGAAATGTACCAGGATTTTTATGTTGGGAAGGGAAACACATACCACCCTCCTTCACTTTTTCCTCTTCCTTAATAGAGACAACAGAGGTGGGGACTTGGTAGCTTGAAAAGAAAGAATGACAGCTTTTACAGTCAGAAAACATACACTGCATGGCTTTTTTCACACTTCTGATTCAAAGCCCAAAGACACTTCCTTTCAGTGAGACGAATACTAGAAAAAAACCTCAGCAGCTGGGAAGTAGGTGATTCTGACTGCCTAACTATATTTCTTAAATGTTAACATGATTTTGTTCAAACTTCAACATAATAATAAATAATAACAATGATGATGGTCTGGGACTGGAGTTTAGTGGCTGCATTACTTGCTTGGTGTTCATGAAGCCCTCGGTTTGGTCCCCAGCACCACAAAAGCCTGAGTGTGGTTCACACAGCCTATAATCCCAGCAATTGGGAGGTAGAGACAAGAGCATCAAGGTCCGGGTCATCCCTGACCACATAAGGAGTTAAGACCAGCCTGGAAATGTCTCAAACGAGCAAACAGAGAAAAACCTCAAAAACTCAGCAGGGTATAGCTGCACACACGTGGGAGGCTGAGACAGGAGGGTGGTGAATTTGAGGCCAGCCTGGACTAAAAAGTTAGATCAGGTCAACTTAGAGAGATGTAAGACCCTGTCTTAGAAGCAATGAAAGAAAACAAACCTTTGACCGTATATGTACAAGTATCATGAACAAAATGTGTGTGTATGCAAAGAAAGTAAAAATCCTATCCGGAATCCTACTAACTAGCAGAAAAAGGAGGGGAAAGAGTGAAAAGGAACTGTTCTGGGAGGTAGGGAGTGGTGTGGGATATTTACACCACGTAAAGATTGTTCACTGTGACTGGTTCAAGAAAGAGCTGAATGGCCGACAGCTAAGCAGAAGTATAGGTGGGACTTCTGGGCAGACAGAGAAAGTAAGAGGAGATAATCGAGGTCGAGGAGACGCCAATGAGACACTGAGGGAGTCGGACATACAGAATGAAAGGTAAAAAGCCACACAGTAAAATGAAGATTAATAGAAACGGGTTAATTTAAATTGTAAGAGCTAGTTAGGAACAAGCCTACGCTACAGGCTCAGCTTTCATAGTTAATAAGTCTCCACATCATTATTAGGGAGCTGGCTGGCAGGACAGAGAAAAACACACTATAAGGGAGAGTTTTGGGAAGATGGGGAGGAATGAGCTACTAGAGGTAAGGAACTGATTTTTGTTTTTGTTTTTTTGTTTTGTTTTGGTTTTGGTTTTTCGAGACAGGGTTTCTCTGTGTAGCTTTGCGCCTCTCCTGGAACTCACTTGGTAGCCCAGGCCGGCCTCGAACTCACAGAGATCCACCTGGCTCTGCCTCCCGAGTGCTGGGATTAAAGGCGTGTGCCACCACCGCCTGGCAGGAACTGATTTTTTATTATTTAAGAATTATATTAGTATCAATATTTTAAATTGTACATGTGGCAGGTAAGCATCAATTAAGAACTTGAAGGAAAACATGTGATTCCTATGTGAAGATTTTAGATGTACCTAAAAAAGGAGAGCCTATTACTGGCTCAGATATATATACCTTGGGAGAGGGCACTCTTGGCAACAGTAGACACCAGGAGTTTTCTGGCAGATATCAGAAATTTACGTGGGCAAATAATGAAAAAATAAAGGAAAATATTAGGAGTAAAACATTTCTCGCCGGGCAGTGGTGGCTCACGCCTTTAATCCCAGCACTCGGGAGGCAGAGGCAGGTGGATCTCTGTGAGTTCGAGGCCAGCCTGGACTGCCAAGTGAGTTCCAGGAAAGGCGCAAAGCTACACAGAGAAACCCTGTCTCCAAAAACCCAAAAAAAAAAAAAAAAAAGCCGGGCGGTGGTGGCGCACGCCTTTAATCCCAGCACTCGGGAGGCAGAGCCAGGCGGATCTCTGTGAGTTCGAGGCCAGTCTGGGCTACCAAGTGAGTTCCAGGAAAGGCGCAAAGCTATACAGAGAAACCCTGTCTCGAAAAACCAAAAAAAAAAAAAAAAAAATTTCTCTTAAGTGTGCTATGTATGACTGAGGCCACCTGCTGGCTATGAAGAGAAAAGACCTGTCTTAAAAATTCCATTCCTGCTCTATCCAGTGCTCACTTAGAAACTGCAGGGCTACTAGAAATAAGTGGGAGGTACTATGAATATCCCCCAAAGGAGACTTTAAACGCAGCTCCCTTTCTTATTAGGCTAACTTGGAAGGGGGGACACCTCTACACGACTTCAAAGTTTCCTGACGAGCAATGTTCTATACATACACAATGACACAAAACACCAGAAGACTCTAGACATCCAGATTCACGGCTGTGGAATCTAGGTGTGTGTCTCTAGGCATAAATTCTACTACACATCTGAGACTTCTCAGCTCAGAGCCTCAAGACCACATTCACCGTCCCTTCTACAGCATGTGCTAGTGATGACTGCATTTTGCCCACAGTTTAAAACATGTCCTATATTGCAGAGCAGTTTTAGGTTCACAACAAAATACACATGCTTCTTTTTGTGTGTGTATACCTGAATGGAGACCTACCAATGTCTTCCTCACACAGGCTAGAATGAGGCCCCACACGCATAAGCCCTCAATGAAGAGTATGCAACCACAGAAGGAGAGAGACACGTAGGAATGCCTTGCCCCCTGTCCCCTGGTTACAAAGTGCAAAACCTGCATCACTCATGTAGCAGCCTGGCTCGAAGTGCTTCCCAGAGGCCACAGTCTCAGACTCCACCCCTGATGTAGTAGAAAGAAAATCGTACTTGCGACAGATCTGCTTTCATGTCCACTCTAAGTAACTACGGCTCTTGGGAGGCAGAGGCAGGCGGATCTCTGAGTTCGAGGCCAGCCTGGGCTACAGAGAGAGTACCAGGACAGACTCCAAAGCTACACAGAGAAACCCTGTCTCGAAAAACAAAAAAAAATAAAAAATAAATAAACAGGCAGTGGTGGCATACACCTTTATTCCCAGTACTTGGGAGTCACATGCCTTTAATCCCAGCACTTGAGATCTCACACCTTTAATCCCAGTATTTGGGAAGCACAGGAGACATTAATCCCACCACTAGGAAGGAAGTGATGGCTGGGTGGAGAAAGGTATATAAGGTGTGAGGAGACAGGAACTAAAGGCTTTTCAGCTGGAGAGCTTCAGAGACATTCAGTCATAGAATTCGTGGAGTTGGTGAGGTGAGATGTGGCTGTGGCTTGTTCCTTTGTCTCTCTGATCTTTCAGCATTACCCCAATATCTGGCTCTGGGCTTTTTTATTAAAAGACCAATTTAAGATTTGAGCAACAAGCTGATGCTGGTTCGACTTCACAGCTGCTTCTCTAAACCCTTGTCCTACCCCCCAGGAGAAGGGCAGCTGTGTTTTCTGATTTCAGGGAATGACACTTTCTCTCCATCTCCTCTGAGGTTCTGCCTTTCTCGTCTTCACACTGAGGATCAGTGCTGCAAACTCCTGTGCTCTCTCGACCAGCAAGGTCAACTTGAGCTAGCCACAGTGGTTCACATGTGTAAGCTCAGCACTTCAAAGGATGAGGCAAGAGGATTGCTATGAGTTCTAAGCCAACCTGAGCTACAGAGTGCAATCTTGTCTCAAAGGGTCTGGCATGCAGCTTAGTTGCAGTATTTGCGGTCAGCCTTCAGGAAGCCCCCTATAACACTGGGATTATAGTCATACAAGGCACATAAACTACAACTAAGCTACATGCCAGACCCAGTTGAACAAGACAAGCAGAGGAGAGGCAGAAAGTCAAACCTCACAGATGTAGAGGCTACCAGCGACTGGAGAGCTATGGGAGAGGCTGGTCAACAGGTAATAATCAGATAGGAACACGTATGGTATTCTATGGTAGAGTAAACACAATTACCAAAGGCTATGCCGAAGTAGCTAGAAGACAAGATTTTGAATACTATAACATTCCTTTTCAGTTAATGTTTGAGTTGACAGATATGCCACGGATTCCGATCGGATTACGTCACAATGTATGTATGTATCAAAACACTGTATTCAAAGATATGGACAACTGCTGTTTGTCAAGTATAATTTTCAAAAGGAATTAAAGAAATTAATAACAAAAATCATAAACCCAACAAACAGGGCACAGGAACAGCACCTACCTGTTTGAAATTTCAAAATCAAATGCTTTTGTCAACTTACTTTCATATTTATCCTTTCCCATGTAGATAGTGTAAGTAGATGAGTTAACTGAAACAAAACAAAGCCAAAAAGACAACTAGTTAACTTCACCAAAGAAACTTTTCATGGCGTACCCAAGTGTCAAAGCCTCTGATTAGGAGATATGAACCATAGGCCACACCTGGCTTACCCACCTGCTCTTGCATCCTTTGAGTATAAGTTTTATACTTCCAAGTGACTGATAACAGCAGGAGAAGATTAAACCATGAAGAATGCATTATAGTCTTACTGAGCTCAAAATAGTCTCTTGTCCCCAAACAAGACGTTTGCCAACCCTTACTGTTGAATGGTTGCTTTCCTCCTTTTCAGGGAAAGAGCTTTTTATTTACTTCACTTCAGGGGTAAAGTTTAACAGCAACTTACAGCTCAGTCCTACACCTTTGTCTTCTTCAATGATGAGCAACAACCATGCCCCCGCAAACAAAAATCTCTACTGCAAATATTTCAAAACAGATCCCTGCACTCAGGAGGCAGAGGCAGGTGGGATCTCTGAGTTCGAGGGCAGCCTGGTCTACAGAGTGAGCTTCAGGACAGCCAGGGCTACACAGAGAAACTTTCTCTCAACAAACAAACAAACAACCAAAATTCCTAAACTTAGCTGGCTTTTATTTTGTGTAACCCCATCTAGCTGGCATTACTTATCTTTCAGTCTGCTATGCTAGTGGAAGCCCTGTTCTCTTCAGGGGACTCACAGCCTCAAACCTCTTCAAACACTGGCTCAATCCATTCATTCTATTAACCCCCTCCAACTACTTCAGACAAACTGAATCCAAATCTTACGGTGAGGTAATGAACATTTTTTTGTGTTTTAGTAAGCTTTCCTTAATCATGATTCTAAAGTCAATATTAGGACATTGAAAAGACTAAGTGCTGGGTTGCCAAGCAAGTCCCACCAAAACTTGTTTGATCCTAAGTGGATCTAAGTTTGTGACTTGATCTCTAGTCTACAAGCACAATGCCTGGTAGACAGGAACGGGGTTGGCTGGAGTCTGTGCCACTGAGCAGAACTGGGCTGTGATGGTGTAGTACGCCTGTAATCCCAGCATTTGAGAGGGAGAAGAGTCAGGAGTTCAAGCCATCCTTGGCTACATAGGCCAGCTCAAAGGCAACCTGGTCTATCTGAGAGACTCTGACTCAAAAAAACAAAACAAAACCAAAGTTATGAGGCCATACATTTTAAATGACAGTCAGGAGGCCTGGGAGTTCCTGCCCCCACCTCCTGAATCATGGGATTCCAGGTGTGTACTACACACTCGGTTTACGTGGTACTAGAGATCAAACCCCGGACTTCAAGAATGCTAGACAAACACTAACTCAAACAACTGTCTGTAACTCCAGTTTCAGGGATCCATCACCCTCTTCTGACCCGAATAGGCACTAGGCACACAAGTGGTGTGTGGATGAGCAAAACACCTACAAACATAGAGTTTTTAGAAATAGCATTATTACAGACAACAACAAAACCTCACACTGAGGGACACTTCACAAAATAATGCTCCAATTAAAAGTATCATGAAAGATTAGGTAGCTCATGTCTTTAGTCCCAGCATTGGGGAGGCAGAGCTCTGGGAACTCAAGGCCAGTCTGATCTACATAGTGAGTGCTAGGCCAGCAAGAGCTATATAATTAGATCCTGTTTCAAAAATAAACAAATAAAAAGAAAAGTACCAAGGCCGGGCGGTGGTGGCGCACGCCTTTGATCCCAGCACTCGGGAGGCAGAGGCAGGAGGATCTCTGAGTTCGAGGTCAGCCTGGTCTACAGAGTGAGTTCCAGGAAAGTCAGAACTGTTTCACAGAGAAACCCTGTCTTGAAAAACAAAACAAAAAAAAAAAGAAAAAGGAAAAGAAAAGAAAGAAAGAAAGGAATGCCAGCATTAGGGAGACTTGAGGCAGGAGGGTCCCTGTTTGAAGCCAGCCTGAACCACTCACTCACTGTCTTGGGATTGATTTGGAGCAATATGGGCAAAGAAACGAGATTGACACAGCATTTCCTGGGAACCAAACACCACTTTTCTGGCCTTCCAAAAACCAGCTCAGTGGTATTACCATATGTCACCTGGACATCAGCTCTGCCCAGTGACGACGGGTTGTACTGACATTCTAGTCCTATTGCTTTCCATGGCACCCCAGCCCCTCCCTTCTTAGAAGGGCAAGGTACTCTTCCTGTAGGAGACAGCTGTTGGCATCTGTCTCATTGGTGAACGTCGATCCACCAGGGTGCTGCCAGAATGCTAGGGCAAAGGCTTGAGGCGGGGAGGGTGTGCAGGAACCCACACACTGCCCAAGCCCAGGAAGCCTTGGCGGGTCTGTCAGGTTGGGGATGAGAATGATTCCCGGGAGTAAGGAAAGAGGGGGGCGCACTGCCACGGCTCCCACCAGGCCCTGACCAGTGGACCACCAGGCAACCGAGGGGACGGCCCCGCAGGGACCCAGAAAGCGGCAGGAGAGGCGCCCGCAGGAGGATGCGCTTCAGGACCAGGTCCAAGCCCAGCGGCGGCTGGGGAATGCCGGCTTTGGAGGCAGCTGCGGGCAGCAGGACCCCCGGGGCGGGGGTCTGGCGTCACTCACCACTGCTGCTGGTGAAGTAGAACACCATGATCCTGCTAGAAGAGTGGCAACTCGTGCTCAAATCGCGAAGCTCAAGATAACCACAGGCGCAAGGGTGAGCCGGCTTCCAGGCTCTCCTCCGGACACTTCCGGCGGACGTGCGGTCGCGTCACAATGCCGTCCTGTCGGCGCCATCTTTGGTCCTGGCGAAGGGAAGGGAGTTGGCGGGAGGGCGGGTGTCCCAGTGACTGAGGAGTGCGCCCTAGCGGCCGCTTGAAGGAAATTAGCGGGAAACTGCATCTTATTTGAAGCCGGAAAGGAAAAATGGTTTTTTATCTGTTTTTCCCCTCAACCCAGCATGGGCTCCATGGATGCAGGAACTGCCTCTTTCATAGTTAAAAGTCCCTGTACCCATTACATCCGTAGGCACCTAGTAGGAGCCAATTCAATTTTAAATGAACTCATTCCTTCACTACTTGACATAAGTGAAGTTTTTGTTTTGTTTTTGGCTTGACCAAACTAGTCAGAATAGATCTGGCTAATTTTCCATGGGATTCTCCAATCAAATTCTAGTTAAACCTGAAATGGCTTCAGCAAGAATACAAGACAGAGGAACCTCTGCACTGTCTTGCCCTGTCACAATTAAATAAATTGCTGTGCATCAGGGCATAACATAGAAGGTACTCAAATGAGTTGTTATTGATATTCTCCAGAGGCAGTCTGCGTATTGGGGGTTGGACTCGGACTATTGTTCCTTTAAATCTAATGTCTTCTCTGTGTTACCTATAAGACTGAACAAATCCCAAACCTCTGAACGTCATCACTTCTTGCTATAAATTTACAAAATGCTCCAGAGCACCTAGGTTTGATGTAATTTTTCTTAGTTGTGATGAACAAAAATGAGAGTCCATTTCGAACTGAATATCTCAACACGCCCCGACAAGTCAGACCAAACAAAACTGGAATCACTCAGGCTAAATGCCACAGAACCTGAAGTATTAAGGTCCCTGGAGAGCCTGGTCTTCCCTAAAAACAGGAAATTCCAGTCTAGTAAAATCTGCATGATAAAGAAGTCCCCTGGCTTTTAACTCTTTCAAAAAAGTAACTAGCCATGACCTGATATTAACCGGTTTCCCCTACTCTGGTTCTTTTACTTTACAATAACCACTATTATTCTGGGTCTCTTGGTGCTAGTCAGGGTTCCGGAGTATCCACGGGAGAAGACTGTTCAGACACCGGTTTAAGCCAACAGAAAGTCTTTATTTGCTGGCAGGTGATCACACTAGGTGTTCAGATCCCAGAGTAGCCATAGGCCTTTAAAGCTCAGGGAGAACTTTTAACCTCAAAAACCATGTCCTAGGTTGACATGCAAGAACAGTTAGCCAGAAGCAAGACTACAGAAGCCAAAAAGCAAAGTTAGTACATTTAGAGACTCTCCCAGAACTATGGATTTTGGTGGATTTGGTCTTAGCTTTCATGTTGGCTTGTGGTACTGTCCACGTGCTCAGTTTTACAGCCTGAATGGCATTTCCATCGTGGAGTCAGTTGTGCTAAGGTCTGGGGCTCTGTTATAGTTAGGATTCTAGACCTCGGGAGATGGGGCCCGATTTTAAGTTGTAGGTAAATCTGGGGTAGCAAGGCCTCAGTTTCAAAGACATCTCCCAACAAAACACACTATTCTACCATTACGCAATGGGAACTTTCATTCTATCTTCTAACCTAGAAGTTGACCTATTCACGAATCATGAAAATAGCTAAATTGCTAGTCATTTGAACCCATTCCAGCCAATTTTGTTCTATGAAGAACGACATCACTTAAACTCATTTAGAACTAAACATGTGTTTGAGACTGCTAGAAGCTGATGACTCCTTAAAAACCTGTGAGTGCTTTAAGAACATTTCCACTTGCTAAAGGACACATGATAAAGTAGAGCTGGGTGGGGTGACACAGGCCTTCTGCATAAATACCAAATGTCTTCAGGTCTTGGCTTTAATTTTCCGTAAAGTAGGAATGATGATACAAACTTCATAGATTGTGGTGAGGAGTAAGTGAAATAAAATTTATAAAGCATCAAGCTGGAGATATTTTTTGGGCTCAGCTATTCAGAACACATACTCCTCTTGAAGAGTACCTGAGTGCAATTCCCAATGCCCACATTGAATGGCCTACAACTGTCTAAAACTTGGGAATCCAACTCCTCTGGCTTCTGCTGGTACCTGCACTTATATGCACATACCCACTCGCTGACATGAGAATAATTAAAAATAATAAAATCTTTTTAAAATATATCAAGTATCTGACACTTAAGAATTTAGTGAATGTTCATGCCATAATTTGAAGAATAAAATAATGAAATGGAAACCTAAAATATCATTGATTTTTTTTAAAAAGCAAAACCAATAATCAGACTTCAACTATGAAAAGGGAGAGCTTCCAGTATCTTGGAGATATCATTTTATGTAAACTACTTACACTAACCACCTCAGAATTTTACTTCCGATTCAGCTGAACCATAAACTACAATTCCCATAATGCACGATCACTGGCCTGTAGTCTGGAGCGGGAGGTGGTTGCAGGTTTGTTTTTTTTTTTTAAGGAGGCGTGGCTTCCTTGACCCGGGTCGGCTTTGCCTCACAAGGGCGGGAGAATCTTGGAGGCCACCACCCCGGAGGCGGGGCAAGGACTGGCGAGAAACCAATCACGGCTCAGGCTCTAGGAAGCGCTGCGCAGCGACGAATCAGAATGCAGCGGCGTTGGTCTCAAGTGGCGCGCGTGAATTTGAACGCCCTGGCAGAGCGCCGCCGGGCTCCTGTGAGGAGAGTTGTGGGGTCGCTGAGGTGCGGAGCGCTCTCAGAGTGGGTCCCCGGCCGGAGTGGACGCCGAGCCAGCGAGAGCCCTGAGGAACGCGGGTAACGTCACGGGGCAGGGGAACTTGGCTGTGGGCGGACGCCGCCTGCTCCTCACGCGGGGCCGGTGCTCCCGGTGCCGGCTTCTCACGCAACCCGGGTGGGGCGTCCCTGAACCCCGCAGACTTTTCCATTCGCCTTAGAGGTCGCGCTTGTGCAGTTCTGTGGGACTGACATGCCAGATCCGAAGGAAGGAAAGAACGTGCTAGGGTTTCCTCCCAGTGGGCAGAGGCTTGCCTGCTGCATCTCCTCAGCAGCTGCCGGAACGCGGTCCGCGTCCTTCATAAATAAGGAAGCTCCTGCGAGGGAGCCCAGCCGCGGGCTGTGGGGGACGGTTGTCCTCCCCACATTCCCTTGCTCACACTTCCAGGAAGGGTCCGCACAGGCTCTGCGGTCGGTCACTGGACGTGCAGGCTGTGGAGATGGTTAGCCAGAATGTATGCCAAGTGGAGTGTGGAAGAGGCAGAGGGTGCGCGGAGAGCTGGGGGGACTAGAGCGTCCGTCCATCAGTGGGCGTTCTGGAAGGAGGGCAGTGCCAAGGAAGGCCTCCCAGGAGGGCTAAAGCTTGATGGGATTGCTTTAATTCAAGGAAAGTGTGCCCCTAATGAGGGTCCACCTGCCCTGTCAGTGGGCTCACCTTTCTGCTCGAATGCCTGGTGCGGGCGGTATTTCCCCAGCCTGCCCGCCCTCCCTCCCTTCCTTCTGTCACTGTTCAAGTCTCAGAGTAACTGACTGCTTAACTTCTCTTTTTGCAACCCCTGTGACCCAGGCTGGCCTCAAACTCGGGATCCTTTTGCCTCAGCCTCTTATTAGCACCCTCACACCTGACTAGTTGGCTTTAAAAAAAAAAAAAAAATTGTTATTTGGAGACAGGCATGCTAGTTCAGTCTATAATCCCAGCCCTGGAAAGCTCAAAAGTTCTCTAAGTTCATCTTTGGCTCCAAAGTGAGTTTGAATTTGAGGCCAGGCTTGGCTATGGGAGGCACTATTTCCTTCGGTATTTATTTGCAATCATTTATTTGGAATCCCAACTCCCCAACCTCCCCCTCAGACAAAGTTTCCCTGTGTAGCCCCTACTGTCCTGGAACTCCCACTGTAAACCAGGCTGGCCTCGAACTCACAGAGATCCACCTGCCTCTGCCTCCCAAGTGCTGGGATTAAAGGCGTGTGCCACCACTGCCCGGCTGGAATTAAGATTTTTGAAATACAATTTTGGCATAGTGCATTTTCTATCCATTTGATGACTTTATTATTACCGACCTATTTATTGCTTTTAGGAATTCAGTTAAAATGATGGCAGCTTTTACTCCAAGGAAGAGGAAACGACTTACTCTGAATGCTGATAATGGCGATAGGTAAATCTTAACCTATACATATGAACTCTTTTGTTTGTTTGTTTTTCCCCGAGACAGGGTTTCCCTGTGTAGCCCCTGCTTTCCTAGAACTCCCTCTGTAGCCCAGGCTGGCCTCAAAATCACAGAGATCCTCCTGCCTCTGCCTCCCAAGTGCTGGGATTAAAGAGGTAGGCCACCACCACCACGATATATATGAACTCTTTAAAGAAAGAAAAATTCAGTCATGCCAGAGATATAAAAAGGCCTCAAAGAGACAGTTTATTACAGAAAATTTACCATAGGGTATTTAAAGAGCTAGTTGGGGAAAATACATGGAGAATAATTTGTAAGTTTTTTAAAAAAGTATTTAATTCTTGGGGGTGTTTTGTCTGTATTTATGTCTGTACCACATGGATGCAGTTCCCATAGATGGACTGAAGTTATAGATGGTTTGTGAAGCACTATGTGCGAGGACTCAGACCTGGGTCCTCCGGCAGAGCAGCCAGCGCCCCCAGCAGCTGAGCCATCCCTCTAGCCCTTTGGCTTTTTGTTTGTTTTTTATTTGAGACCATCTTAACCATGTAAACCAGGCTGGCCTCAGACTCGGTGAGATCTGCCTGCCTTTGCCTCCTGAGTGCTGGGATTAAATGTAAGTGCTACTATGCCCGGAGCCAGTGGAGGACAGAGAAGTAGATTGTGAAATACACATACTTGTATGCATATCAAAGCTTCTTTGTAAACACCGTTTGCTTTTATGAATGTTATCTTTCTGTTTTGTTTTTGTTTTCTTTGAGACAGGGTCTTTATATATCCTTGGCTGTTCTGAAACTCCACATGTAGATCAGGCTAGTGTTAAACTCAGAGATCTGCCTGCCTCTATCTTTGAGTGCTGGGATCAAAGGTGTGTGCCACCAAGCCTGGCTTCTGGAAGTTATTTTTAGAAATACATTTAAATGCT